GGGTTAAACCTGGGTGGCTCCTTGGAGGCAAGGATTCTGAGGCTCCATCTAACATACTTTGGACATGTTGTGAGGAGAGACCAGTCCTTGGAGAAGGACATCATGCTTGGGAGGGTGGAGGGACAGCGCAGGAGGGGAAGGCCCTCTATGAGGTGGACTGATTCAGTGACTGGGATAATCGGGATGGGAGTGTCAGAGACAGTGCAATTGGCACAGGACAGAGCAGAGTTTAGGGCTGTGGTACATAGGGTCGCTATGAGTTCCAAGCGACTCGACGGCACATAACAACAACAAACAACAACCTGTATTTATGTTTCTTATAAAACGTATTTGCAACGAATAGCTCATTGACTGTGCAAAATTCAATCATTGTATCTCCAGCTTCATTTCTGTCACCGAGCCCATGTTTTCCAACTACTGATTCTTCTTCTCTGTTCCCAACTTTTGCATTCCAGTTACCCTTTATTATCAATGCATCTTGATTGACTGTTCGGTCGCTCTCTGACTGTAAAAGGTAGTAGAAATTGTCTATTTCCTCTTCTTTGGCTCTGGCTGTTGGTGCATATATCAGAATGATAGTGGTATTCACTGGATTTCCTTGTAAGTGTATGGATATTATCTTGTCACTCACAATATTGTACTTCAGGACAGATCTAGAAATGACTTTTTTAACTATGAAAGCAACCCTGTTTTTCATTTCCAGAGTAATATATGATCATCCAAGTCAAAATGCCCCATACCAGTCCATTTCATCTCACCAATTCCTAGTCTGTCAATATTTATGCTTTCCATTTCTTTCTTTTTAAAAATTTTCTTATTTTTGTGTGAGTGTACCGTCAAATCAGATCTGACTGGTACAGGAGGAGATTGTCCCTCCTTCCCTGGCAGAGCATCTGGTGGATTCGAACCGTGCGCCTCTGGGATTGTAGTTGCAGCTCCTTACCACTAGGCCACCAGAGCTCCCCTCCATTTCTTTCTTAACAATATCTATTTTTCCTACATTCATGGTTCTCACATTCCATGTTCCAATCACTAGTGCCTGCTTACAACTGTTCCTCTTTCTTTGTATTTCCATACTTGAAAGCTCTACCTCAGTTGCCCTTTCTGTTAGTCTATGTGTGTTCTATTGTGTGGAACAGACCACCAATTACTCACATGCAAGTTCAAACTGAAGCTGAGAAAAATTAAACTGAATTCACGGGAACCAAAATATGACTTTGAGTCTATCCCACCTGAATTTCAGAACCATCTCTGGAACAGGTTTGAGGCCTTGAACACTAATGAACGAAGACCAAATGAGTTGTGGGAGGCTATCAAAGGTATCATCCAGGAAGAGTGCAAAAGCTCATTACAAAGACAGAAGAAGAAAAAAGACCAAAATGGATGTCAGAAGAAACTCTGAATATTGCACTGGAGCGCAGAGAAGCCAAAGCACAAGGAAGAATTCAAGATATTAAAGTGTTAGATGGATCTTAGCTGAAAGCAAGGAACATTTATCTGTGTTTCATTGACTATGCAAAGGCGTTTGACTGTGTGGATCATAACAAATTGTGACCAACTCTGAGAAGAATGGGAATCCCAGAACACTTGATCATGCTAATGTGAAACCTATACTTGGACCAAGAGGCAGTCATCAGAACAGAGCAAGGAAACACTGCATGGTTCAAAATTGGGAAAAGCGTATGCCAGGGATGTGTCCTGTCTCCATACCTTTTCAACCTGTATGCAGAACAGATCATCCGTGAGGTTGGGCTCTATGAGGAGAAATGTGGGGTCAAGATTGGTGGAAGATCTATAAACGATCTGTGTTATGCAGATGACACAACCTTACTTGCTGAAACTGAGGGGGACCTGAAGCCCTTGCTGCAGAGGGTCAAGGACTGAAGCCTCCAATATGGATTGAGGCTCAATGTCAAGAAGACAAAGATTCTCACCACTGGACCAATTGGCAACATCAGGATGGATGGTGATGAGGTTGAGATTGTTCACAGCTTTAGTTTGTTTGACTCCACAGTCAACACTCTTGGCACCAGTAGCCAGGAAATTAAAAGACGTATTTTCATGTGAAAGTCTGCTGTTAGGGACCTCTCCCAGTACTGAAGAGCAGTAGTGTCTCTCTGGAGACTAAAGTGTGTCTGATACAGGACATGGTCTTTGCTATCACTTGTTATGCATCAGAGACTTGGACAATGACTAAGGAGGATAGAAGAAGAATTTCTGTCTTTGAGCTGTGTTGCTGGAGAAGAGTATTGAGAGTACCATGGGCTGCTGAGAAAACAAACAGATTCATCCTGGAAAGGGTTAAACAGGGCGGCTCCTTGGAGGCAAGTATTCTGAGGCTCCATCTAACATACTTTGGACATGTTGTAAGGAGGGACCGGTCTTTGGAGAAGGACATCATGCTTGGGAGGGTGGAGGGTCAGCGCAGGAGGGGAAGGCCCTCTATGAGGTGAATTGATTTAGTGACTGGGGTAATCTGGGTGGGTGTGTTGGAGACAGTGCAATTGGCACAAGATAGAGCAGGGTTTAGGGCTGTTGTACATAGGGTTGCTATGAGTTGCAAGCAAGTCGACGGCACATAACAACAATAACAACAAACAACAACAACAACAGTCCATATTGTCATCTTTATATTTTGTCCAGCTCTTAAATGCACAGCAATGATTGGAAAGACTATGTCTTGGATCAGGAATATCTCATTCTTTAAAATCACATCATTGCTCTTCAGGACTTTAGTGAAGTCCCTGACAGAAAACTTTCCTGATGCAATATGTCTTCTGATCTCCTAATTGGTGGTACTGAGGGTGTTGATTGTGGATCCAAGCAAATAGAAATAGTTGGCAGTCTCAACCTTTAACAGTCGTGATGTTTCCTGTTGGCTCAGTGGTGCATATTTTTGTTTTGGATGGCAGTGGCTTTTTGTTATGGTTTTCCAGTGTATGCTGCTACCACAACACTCTTTGCATGATTAGGTTGTGGATCACCTAATCCCTTGAGGATGAAGGTGAACCCCAGGGTTCTTGTGATTGTGTTATCTGGTCTGCGTTCAGCAGAGTACCTGGAACTCTGTGGAGGTTGGAAGCATTTATAAAATCAAGACAGCATTTCTAAAATATTGACCTTGATCAACCAGTTTAGCCAATCCCATACTGTATGTTTGTTTGTTTGTGATCTCTTTGAGCTGTGGTGCTGAAGAAGAGTATTGAATATATTACGGTTGTGTAGGAGAACAAACAGGTTTCTTCTAGAGAGGGTGAAACCAGGCTGCTCCTTGGAGACAAAGATTCTGAAGCTTCATCTGACATACTTTGGACATGTTGTAAGGAGGGACCAGTCCTTGGAGGGGGACGTCATGATTGAGAGGGTGGAGGAACAGCACAGGAGAGGAGGACCCTTGATGAGATGGATTGATTCAGTAACTGAGGTTATAAGAGTAGGTGTTATAAGATTGGCAGAGGAAAGATCAGGGTTTAGGGCTGTTGTATATCAGGTCACCATGAGTCACAAGCAACTTGACTGCACATAAAAACAACAATGCGTGATGCTATCAAAGAAGTTGACATTATTGTGATTGTTAGGTGCCATTGAGTACAACCGAGAGTGACCTTATGAACAACTGATCTAAACCCTGTTCTGCCCTGTGCCGTGCCATACTTACACTTCCTGATATATTAGAGCCTATTCAAGCAATCACTGGTTGAGAGTCTTCTTCTCCTTCACCATCCCTCCACCCTTCCCACCATCATGTCCCTCTCCAAGGAACAACCTCTCCTAGCAACATGCCCAAAATATATGAGATGAAGCTTTATCATCTTTGCTGCCAAAAAGCACTCTGGCTGCACCATCTTCAAGACATATTTGTTTGTTCTTTTGGCAATCCATGAGACTTTCAGTACTCATCTCCAACACCACTGCTCAAAGGCATCAATTCTTTTCCTGTCATCCTTACTCATTGTCCATCTCTCAGATGCATAGCTAGTGTTCAGAAAGACTATGGCCTGACTCAGACACACCTTAGTCCTCAAACTGACATCATTGCTCCTCAATAATTTGGGAAGATCCCTAACTGCAGACTTTCCCAATGCAATGTGTCTTCTTATTTCCTAGCTACTGGTACCAAGGGTTTTAAATTGTGGTTCCAAGTGAGATGGAGTGACATTATCATGACATATTTTGACATTATGGAAATCTATAATTAATCTTATGGAAATATAGCAGACACTAGAAAGAAGAGTAATAATTTCTGCCACTTTCCAGAGCTGACTTTCTGAAGTAGAATTTTATTACAGATAACATAACACTATAGAATATTTAAGGGTGTGCTTTGGTGGTCCAGTGATAAGAAGGTGCAAAACAATCCCACAAGCATGTGTTTTGAATTAACCAACTAATCTGTGGGAGAAGGATGGACAATCTCCTCCCATGCAATTAATTACTTTTGTAAAGCCACTGGAGAATCACTATAAGTCAATTGTGACTCAACAGCACAGAATATTTGGGGAGTTCTGTTGGCATAGGTTTAAAGAACTGTGCTGCTAACTCAAAAGCCACTCTTCTGGCTATATGAATCTACCAGCCCCTTTGCAAGAGAAAGAAGGTTTCCTTCTTTCACAGGAAACCTTCACTGTGATTTATACCTGGAAAGCCCGCTGTAGGATCTGCTGAGTTAGAATTGACTCCATGGTCATGAGAGAGAGAATATTTGACCAACCAAGAAAAACAGTTAATCTTATCCTTCCCTCAACACAACTATTTTCATTTTTTAATATGACCTTTTCATATCTACACACATATTTATCAACATGGTTAGAACCTCTCTGGGTTTATTTAAAATGGAATAAATGCACAATTTCCACATTGTACAGATTTTTCTTTTGAATCATCAGTGTTAACAGGTGCAAAATCCATGAAGTAGATGAATTGTGATTTCAATCATGTCTTGGTGCACCTTTTTTAATATTAAAGCAATATTCTCTAAACCTACTTTAAATGTTCTTAAGGATGCACTGGACAGAGCCAAGAGAGAAATACACCAAAATATGCAAGAAGAAATGAAGAGAGAAAGCTTGGCTGCAGAACAACGCATGGTCCATAGAATCCAAAGAATTATGATGGAGTGCCACAGGGAGAAGATAGAGGCAGTGGAAAGAGCCAGGTTTGAGGAGAGACAAAAAGCCCAAGAAGAAATCGAGACTCAGAGAAGGTATTCCAGTCGGCCAATTAGTATTATACTTTTATCTAAATCAAATTGTAGAAAGGGGTAAATTATGTATGTGGATATTACCTAGATTTTTTTTTGTTTTTGCATTTTTATTCTGGGATATATAAAACAAGTAGAAGAATATATAATAATTCTAGATTATATTTATGCATGGTCTAAAGAAAGATTACATTAATGCTCAAAGACTTCACCCAAATTATCAGGGTGAAAATTACCAATGCTTATAGAATCTATCCCAAATTTATTTTGTTTTTACCCCACCAAGAGGTAACTGCAGTCTTGAATATTGTGTTCATTATTGTATGGCAATATTTTTAAGAGGCTGAGGGGGGAAATAAATCAAGACATATTTTTTCCAAAAACACATGGTAGTTGGCCAGATAAGCTAGCTTAGAGCAAGCATTTGTGTAGCTTTTGTTCTTTTGCTTAATTATAAAAAAAGTTGATATTACGGAACATTATAGTGCAAAAATTTTTAGTGCAAATTCCAACTCACTGCTTCTCTTTGACTTCCAGAGGCAATAATTTTTAATCTTAGGATCTATGTCCTTCTAAATACTCTTTTGATGTTTTTATAACCATATATATGTGCAAAATAAAAATAGTTTCATAGAAATCATATTATATGTGATATATATGACAAGAATATATATAAGAACATATATGATAAGAATATATATACAAGAATATCAAGTTAACCATTTTTCAGTATGTCAATGCACTTTTTGTGGAATTGGCCAGATTTTTACAGAAGGAACCTTTCTGAGGTTTTCCCAGACTCAAGAGAAAACAGAAATTTCCAAATGTCAAGTAACCTGTCCAAGATCTCCCCCCAGTGCTGACAGCAGAATCAGAACCGAAACTTCCGTGTTTAGTCCTCTGGTTTAAGGCGGGTCCCTTCAGTTTGCTGCCTGAGTTAACAAGCAAAGACATCTATTTGTACACAATTAATTGATAAAGTCTTTCATCTTAAAATTGCATAGAACCAGGTCACGGGTGACTCCTCTGAGAAGTGCAGCAAACAAGAAGGTGGCTGCAGCCTGGGTCATTTCAGCTATGCTTTCTTTCTTGCACAGACCACAAACCATCAAAGGATGTAGAAGAGATAAGAAAAGGGACTAGGGGATAATGTTGGAGATGGTATCACAACTCCCAGAAGACTTGTGGTTCAAGTAATGGAAGAAAGTCCCTTTCCTTTCTCTTGCTGTCTTGCCTGCCTGCAGGACCTCTGTCCCTCCCTTTGGGTTTCTGCAGCTATTCCTTACTCACACCTGTTGTCTTTTGCTCTCCTCTTTCTCAATTGTTTTCACCCTTCCTGCCTTTTCCTCTTGTTTAAATGGAAAGTTCTCAGTGGCCACCTTATTTAATCAGTAGACCAAGATTAGGGGACTTCTGTGATGTTTAATCATATCTAATAAAAAAATAAGTCATAGTCAACTGATATCCTAGGGCTTTATTTTATGCCAACACTTTCAATGCGTCTTCCACTTCCTCCTTCATGACCATTGGCTCCTGTTTATATGGTACTTCCTGAAATTGTTCAGTGTCAATCAGTTCTTTCTGGTTCAGTGATTCTGTGTATTCCCTCCATCTTCTTTTGATGCTTCCTGGGCCATTCAATATATCACCCACAGTATCTTTCAATATTGTGACTCAAAGGTTAATTTTGTTTTTCAGTTCTCTCAGCTTGAGAAATGCAGAGTGAGTTCTTCCCTTTTTATTCTCTAATTCCCGTTCTCTGCACATTCCATTATGATACTTCATTTTGTCCTCCAGAGCTACCCTTTGATATCTTCTTTTCAGTTCTTCTACTCCATCATGTTTTCCTTTTGTTTCAGCTTCTTAACACTCCAGTGCAATTTTTAGAGCCTCTTCTGTCATCCATTTAAAATTTTTCTTTCTCCTCTGTTTTTGTAATGACCTTTTGAAGAACATGGATGATAACCTGGTATCATCCCACAACTCATCATTGGTGTTCAATGCCTTAAACCTATTCCTAAAATGATGTTGAAATTCTGATGGAATTGATTCAAGATCATATCTTTGTTCTTGTGAACTTATTTTAATTTTTTTCCTCAATTTGAACTTTCAAGTGAGTAATTAATGGCCTGACCACACAGTCTGACTCTGCCTACTGCTAACTGATAATATTGAACTTCTCCAATGATTTCTTCCACAAATGTAGTCAATCTTATTCCTATGCAGTCCATCAATTGAGATCCATGTGTAGAGTGCACAGATAGGGTATTTTCAAGAAAAATTTAGAAGAGGTTGTGGCAACAGAGATATCGTTGTTGATGTCAGATGGATCCTGGATGAAATAAAAGAATACCAGAAGAATGTCTCTTTTTGCTTTATTGACTATGTAAAGACATCTGACTGTGTGGATCATAACAACTTGTGGCTGACATTGAGAAGAATGGGAGTCCTAGAGCACTTATTTGGGCTCATGCAAAACCTAGATATACCTGGACCAGGTGGCTGTTGCATGAACAGAGCAGGGGAACACTGCATGGCTTAAAATTAAGAAAGGAGTGTGTCAGGGTGGTGTTCTGTCTCCATACCTATTTAATATGTATGCAGAGCGAATTATTTGAGAAGTTAGACTCTATAAAGAGGATTGTAGCATCAGAATCACAGGGAGACTAATCAATAACCTGCCTAATGCTTACTGAAAGTGAGGAGGACTTGAAACACTTGTTGCAGAAGATCAAAGAATGCAGCCTTCAATATAGATTGCCTCTCAGTGTCAAGGAAACAAAGAGTCTTACCACTGGACCAATAGTCAGTGTCATGATGGTTGGAGAAGAAAGGAAAGTGTCAACAACTTCATCTTATTTGGACCCACGATTAACACCCTTGGTACCAGCAGTGAGGAAATCAGGAAACGTATTGCACTGAGTAAGTCTGCAGTTAGGGAACTCTCTAAATTATTGAGGAATAATGATGTCAGTTTCAGGACTAGAGTGTGTCTGATTCAGGGCATGGTATCACTTGCCTGTGCCATCCTCACACTTCCTGACACACAAGAGCCCATTGCAGCAGTGAAGCATGCCAATCCACCTGATTGAACATCTTCCTCTCCTTCACCGATCCTTCACCCTTGCTAGCACCATGTGCTAGAAGAAATAGTCCCTCCTAGCAACATGTCCAAAGTATTTGAGGCAAAGCCTCATCATCATTGCCTCCAAAGGGCACTCCAGCTGCACCTTCTCCAAGATATGTTTGTTTGTTTGTTCAAATATTTATGAACCAAATGATAGAACTGCAAAAGATACAAAACAAACATTAACAGAACTGAAAAAGGAAATAGACAACACCACCATAGTAGTTTGAGACTTTAATACATAACTCTCAAGAAAAGATAGAACAGAAAGAAACTCAACAAATATGCTGAAGAATTAAAACATACAATAAACCAGCTCAATCTCATAGATATTTATAGGCTAATGCACCCCAAAAAAGCACAATACACCTTCTTCTCCAAAGTGCATGGAACATTCTCCAGAATAAACCACATTTTAGGTCACAAGGCAAGCATCAATAAATTAAAAAACATAGAAATAATACAAAGTATCTTCTCAGACCACAATGTACAAAATTAGAAATTAATAACAAGAGGATAAAGAAGAAAAAACCATACATCTGGAAGATGAACAACATCTTGTTTGAACATGAATGGGTAGTAGAAGAAATGAAAAATGAAATTAAAAAGTTTCTTGAAACAAATGACAATGAAAACATAACATACCAAAGCAGCTAAATACAGCTAAAACAGTAATCAGAGGCCAATTTATAGCAATAAGCACATATATGAAAAAATTATAATTGACTCTCTAACCTAACATCTTAAACAAATTGAGAAAGAACAGCAAGAAAACCCAATACCCTCTAAAAAACCACACCTGACATTATAAAAATTAGAGCAGAAATAAATGAAATAGAAAATAGCAAAAAAATTAAAACCATCAACAAAACCAGAAGTTGGTTCTTCAAAAAGGTCAGTAAAATTGGCAATCCACTAACAAAGGGAAAGAAATACACAAATAATCCGAATAAGAGACAAAACAGGCCATTGCATATTTCATTGTTAAACTTTTTATTTTAGTTGGTTCTGTCATGACATTTCATGACAGAACCAACTAAAATAAAAAGTTTAACAATGAAATATGAAAAACTATACTCAGACAAATATGAAAACCTAGAAGTGGACAAATACTTAGAAACTCACAACCTACCTAAACTGAAAAGACTGAAATTGAACCCTTAAATAGACCCATTACAAAAGAAGAAATTGAACAGCGAATAAAACATCTTTTAACACACACACACACACACACACACACACACACACACACACACACCTGGACCA